TTTGATTTGTTTTGCGCAAAACCAATTACTGTAGGTGGAGAGGAGGGAACTCTCCAAAATGAACAAGTAACTCCAAAGCACGAAAAAAACTAAACCAAGAACAGGACAAGTGAAGAATTAGTCAGTCCATCGTTCATGATGGCCTCCGACGGTTACGTCGGCAAGCGAGCCTCCGCCACTGCCAAAGCAGCGTGGGCTCCGCAGGAGGGTGCAAATTTCAAACTAAAATTTACACGCCTACAACCGCGAATGCACATGATACATGATTTCAGAAGGCTGAAGGAAGCATGACTTGTATATGTACTTCTTCGCGGCGTCCAATGCATTATACATTGTACATGTACATGTACAGTTAATATTATCATCGTATAAATTTGGGGTGATTTTCGCGCGTGCTGGCTCTAATATCCTCCTTCCTGTCCTTTTTCACTTTTTTCTTTTTTTCCATGAGTACAATCATGTATTTATTTATTTCTGCACCTCGTGGCATGTCAAGACAACAGTTGTTGTTGTTGTTGTTGTTGTTGTTGTTGTTGTTGTTGTTGTTGTTGTTGTTGTTGTTGTTGTTGTTGTTGTTGTTGTTGTTGTTGTTGTTGTTGTTGTTGTTGTTGTTGTTGTTGTTGTTGTTGTTGTTGTTGTTGTTGTTGTTGTTGTTGTTGTTGTTGTTGTTGTTGTTGTTGTTGTTGTTGTTGTTGTTGTTGTTGTTGTTGTTGTTGTTGTTGTTGTTGTTGTTGTTGTTGTTGTTGTTGTTGTTGTTGTTGTTGTTGTTGTTGTTGTTGTTGTTGTTGTTGTTGTTGTTGTTGTTGTTGTTGTTGTTGTTGTTGTTGTTGTTGTTGTTGTTGTTGTTGTTGTTGTTGTTGTTGTTGTTGTTGTTGTTGTTGTTGTTGTTGTTGTTGTTGTTGTTGTTGTTGTTGTTGTTGTTGTTGTTGTTGTTGTTGTTGTTGTTGTTGTTGTTGTTGTTGTTGTTGTTGTTGTTGTTGTTGTTGTTGTTGTTGTTGTTGTTGTTGTTGTTGTTGTTGTTGTTGTTGTTGTTGTTGTTGTTGTTGTTGTTGTTGTTGTTGTTGTTGTTGTTGTTGTTGTTGTTGTTGTTGTTGTTGTTGTTGTTGTTGTTGTTGTTGTTGTTGTTGTTGTTGTTGTTGTTGTTGTTGTTGTTGTTGTTGTTGTTGTTGTTGTTGTTGTTGTTGTTGTTGTTGTTGTTGTTGTTGTTGTTGTTGTTGTTGTTGTTGTTGTTGTTGTTGTTGTTGTTGTTGTTGTTGTTGTTGTTGTTGTTGTTGTTGTTGTTGTTGTTGTTGTTGTTGTTGTTGTTGTTGTTGTTGTTGTTGTTGTTGTTGTTGTTGTTGTTGTTGTTGTTGTTGTTGTTGTTGTTGTTGTTGTTGTTGTTGTTGTTGTTGTTGTTGTTGTTGTTGTTGTTGTTGTTGTTGTTGTTGTTGTTGTTGTTGTTGTTGTTGTTGTTGTTGTTGTTGTTGTTGTTGTTGTTGTTGTTGTTGTTGTTGTTGTTGTTGTTGTTGTTGTTGTTGTTGTTGTTGTTGTTGTTGTTGTTGTTGTTGTTGTTGTTGTTGTTGTTGTTGTTGTTGTTGTTGTTGTTGTTGTTGTTGTTGTTGTTGTTGTTGTTGTTGTTGTTGTTGTTGTTGTTGTTGTTGTTGTTGTTGTTGTTGTTGTTGTTGTTGTTGTTGTTGTTGTTGTTGTTGTTGTTGTTGTTGTTGTTGTTGTTGTTGTTGTTGTTGTTGTTGTTGTTGTTGTTGTTGTTGTTGTTGTTGTTGTTGTTGTTGTTGTTGTTGTTGTTGTTGTTGTTGTTGTTGTTGTTGTTGTTGTTGTTGTTGTTGTTGTTGTTGTTGTTGTTGTTGTTGTTGTTGTTGTTGTTGTTGTTGTTGTTGTTGTTGTTGTTGTTGTTGTTGTTGTTGTTGTTGTTGTTGTTGTTGTTGTTGTTGTTGTTGTTGTTGTTGTTGTTGTTGTTGTTGTTGTTGTTGTTGTTGTTGTTGTTGTTGTTGTTGTTGTTGTTGTTGTTGTTGTTGTTGTTGTTGTTGTTGTTGTTGTTGTTGTTGTTGTTGTTGTTGTTGTTGTTGTTGTTGTTGTTGTTGTTGTTGTTGTTGTTGTTGTTGTTGTTGTTGTTGTTGTTGTTGTTGTTGTTGTTGTTGTTGTTGTTGTTGTTGTTGTTGTTGTTGTTGTTGTTGTTGTTGTTGTTGTTGTTGTTGTTGTTGTTGTTGTTGTTGTTGTTGTTGTTGTTGTTGTTGTTGTTGTTCAAATCTTTATTCTCACGATAGCCAGTGGCCAATAAGAGAGTTGTTGTTGTTGTTGTTGTTGTTGTTGTTGTTGTTGTTGTTGTTGTTGTTGTTGTTGTTGTTGTTGTTGTTGTTGTTGTTGTTGTTGTTGTTGTTGTTGTTGTTGTTGTTGTTGTTGTTGTTGTTGTTGTTGTTGTTGTTGTTGTTGTTGTTGTTGTTGTTGTTGTTGTTGTTGTTGTTGTTGTTGTTGTTGTTGTTGTTGTTGTTGTTGTTGTTGTTGTTGTTGTTGTTGTTGTTGTTGTTGTTGTTGTTGTTGTTGTTGTTGTTGTTGTTGTTGTTGTTGTTGTTGTTGTTGTTGTTGTTGTTGTTGTTGTTGTTGTTGTTGTTGTTGTTGTTGTTGTTGTTGTTGTTGTTGTTGTTGTTGTTGTTGTTGTTGTTGTTGTTGTTGTTGTTGTTGTTGTTGTTGTTGTTGTTGTTGTTGTTGTTGTTGTTGTTGTTGTTGTTGTTGTTGTTGTTGTTGTTGTTGTTGTTGTTGTTGTTGTTGTTGTTGTTGTTGTTGTTGTTGTTGTTGTTGTTGTTGTTGTTGTTGTTGTTGTTGTTGTTGTTGTTGTTGTTGTTGTTGTTGTTGTTGTTGTTGTTGTTGTTGTTGTTGTTGTTGTTGTTGTTGTTGTTGTTGTTGTTGTTGTTGTTGTTGTTGTTGTTGTTTATTTTACTTCGCAGATTCTAAAGGGCAAGTTGCACAATAACAAGAAAGCCAAGGCCAAGAAAAAAATAAAAGAAATAAACGGGGCAGCAGAAAATGAATAATAGCTTTAAGAACAAGGTCGTCCGGAAAGCCTCACGGGAGAACGGTGTACTGCGCCGATCTTTCCGCCAGATGAACCTGTTTGCCCGCCGTACTTTCGTTGTCGGTGTTGTTCAGCCTGATCTAGAATATGCTCTCCCTGTATACCTTTCATTTATGTCCGTTAAAAATAGAAACAAGCTAGCCTCCCTCCACCGGCACGCTGTACGAGTTGCTTGTGGCGCATCACCCCATCACGCAACTTCTGCACCACCTCAATGTTTCCTCTTTCCAATTTCGATCTGAATTTTTGTTCCTTGTATTTATTTTCCACTGTTACTGTATTAAGCCGGCTGTTGGCTTGCAGTCCCTTTTTCCCATCTGTCCGTCTACCCGCACTACTCGCGGCTCAACAACTCATAACATGAGTATTAATCGCTATAGATCTATGTCTGGATTTCTGTCCTTTTCAAGTAAATCGGCTCCTGTTTGGAATTATTAACCAGACGACCTGAAGTCCTGCACTACTATCGCAGATTTCCGCGTCAAATTGGCTATTTGGCTAAAAGACAGCTCAACTCTTAATCATTGTTGTGATTTGCTTTCAAGCAATGTGCATAATCAGTAAATTGATGTTGCTGTTTTTTTTTGTTTTGTTATTTGGTTTCCCGTTCTCGGGGCCTTCTATTCGGTACTCTTTGTAGTTGTACTTCTGTACTGTTGAGCTATCCGAATTCAAATAAACAATAAAAAAAAATAATAATAATAACTCAGATGGTGAGCCAAGGAACAAATTTCCAAGTTACAAATAATCGCTTTTAAAAGTAAAAAGAAAAGAGCGGGTGGTACAGCAGTCTTCCTATTCTGAATTCCCTGAACCAAGCAGAGACAATAGCTGGGTACATGTCACTATTAGACAGCAGCACAGTAGCAAGAGAGCTACCTCAGTCGACATCAGTGGACG